ATGTTTTTGCTGTAATGTCACTGTGTATATATTTTGGCAGCTTCGGTCTGAATTTGTTGAACCTGGAATATGTTTGAAATACAGTACCAGACAAACACATCACTATTAACAACATTAACAACAACAACACAATAACAACAACAGCATCACCGAAACAACAACAACAATAATGACAAAAGTTACAAATTGAAGTGATATTTTAAAATAAAAAAAGCCAGAACAACAACAGCAACAACAACAACGCAATCCCATAATCATTCTACCAAAAATTAAAGTAGCAACACAACAACACAACGAAATAATAACAATAACAACAACTTCATCATTGTCAACAACATCAGAAACAACAACATCATCAGGAGCATTTGCAACAACATCATTATCATCAACGACCACAAACTCACTGCCTCAACAGCCTGGTCACTAGCATCACCACAAAATCAACCTCTTCGACTTCTATAAACCTTCCAAACTCAACGATCGAATTGTTTAAAGACTTCAGAAGTTCACTTTTAGACGGAGATGACGTAGAAAGAAAGAATGATGACGATGATGTTGGCAGTAGTAATGATGATGGATATGGCTTGGAAACGTAAAAATATTTCTCGGCTGGAAAATTTAGCGCCTCGTAAATGCTGTTGACATTGCCACCAATTATCGATTTGCTGTCTTTATTTAGATTTTTACTGGTAGTAGCGACAATTTTATTTACAACATTTTTATTATTGTTGTTGTTGTTATTGTTGTTGTTGTTGATGATGACGTCATTTTCCTTAATTTTACTGGCGATTTTACTGGCATAGAGTAATTTAGGAAAGGACAGCCACTGATTGGCTGACAAGTTACTCAGATACCTGGTGAAAGATGACAAGTACTGCTTCAAACCAGACTCAATACCGCTGCTGCCACCACTACCACCACTACTACTGCCGCTACTACTGCTACTTCTTTGGCCACTGAAGATGTCTTCTATGTATGAGTTGATTTGAGCTTTTAAGGATTTCAAAGAGTTTGAGCTGTACCTCGCTAGAACTTTTTCAAGTTGGAGATGGTAGTTTTTGAGAAAAATTGACGATGTGGTAGTTGCAGCTGTCGCAGGTGTGGCCGTTGTGGTGATGATGATGATGTGAGGTTTGCTCATTTTGTCGTCAGCATCATCGTTGTTGTTGTTATTATCACTGTTGTTGTCACCAAATTTTTTATTATCGTTATTGTTGTCTCCATTGGCATTATTGTTATTGCTGTTATTATTTTTAATGTTATTACTTTTATTGTTGTTGTTGTTGTTATTTTTCATCATTCTATCCCTACTACCACCACCACCATCATCGTCATCATTATCATCATCGTCGTCATCGTTTTTGGCGGGAAATCTTATCTCCGAGTAGATACTATTTTTAATTTTTTTAACGAGTTCGTTGGAGCGCTGTATGATTTCATTGCTGATGTCT